TTTTCCCCCTTTGTTTTCATATCAGAGAACAGTAGATGGTTGCTTTCATTTTCTAGATGTAGCCCACTCTGGTTTCATTATTAGGAACTGTGTACAGATACTAGTGAGCTGTTTCCACTGGACAGGCTCACACTGGGGAAGTGTCCTGAGTATAGGAATGGGGGAGCACATTCTAGAAAGGTGATTTTGGAAGAACATGGATCACGGTCCACCTTGGTCAGAACACTCCACCAAAGGTACATCCATGAGTTGAAAAGGCCCCTGCCTGAGAACAGCTTCCGGTAACATTCTGGAATTTGATGGAGCTGCTTCTACGGGCCCTGTCTCCTGCTGCCTGCATTAACCAAGAGACTGTGATGGCCTAACTTCCCCTCATGGGCAATCCAGTCCCCACAGAGAAGTGGACTACACAGAGGAGGGACCTACCTCCCTATCCCACTAGTCGGTGCTCATTCTTCTTCCATATCATTGGCAGAAAATTTGGAGAAAGGATAATGCTTCAAATCACAGAAGATAATGCTTCAAATCACAAAGAGTTCAGTGTCCTCTTTGCTAGAGCAAAATTCAGTAGCTCAAAAGTACTTCCTGGGTTCTGAAACTATGTAACCGCTGACTCCCACAAAGCCAGTTCTTTTTTATGTAATTTTTTAATTTATATATGACAGCAGAATGCATTTCAATTCTTATTACATATGTAGAGCACAATTTTTCATATCTCTGGTTGTATACATAGTATATTCACACCAATTCATGTCTTCATACATGTATTTTGGATGGTAATGATACAAAGTCAGTTCTTAAAGAGAACTGACCTGACCACCCACGTTCCCATTGGGGCAACTTCAAAAGATTTCTAAACGTAACTAAACTTGAAACCTGTTGCTAAAAGTTAATAAATGTCTTTAAATAGTTCCACTCTTCACAAGTCCAACTTGTCAATTAACTAACTCAATTTCTTCAAAGGTCAAGTGAGAAAAAAAAATATATGGGAAAATAAATGTGCAATTCTATTGAACCAACTCTTCCCATTCCAATGGGAAGCAAGGGCCAAAGTCTTCCCTTCATCTTTTCTTTGCTCACGGTATGAGTTCCTCTATATAAGCTTTACCATCAACTCAGGGTAAAAAAAAATAATTATAATAAGTTAAGTGGATGTGACACACCAAGAGGTCAATGGTCACACAGAGGCATTTTGAAAATGTATTTTCTAGCTCTGTCCACTGAACAGATCTAAAGTGACTCCATTAGCATGGATCCCATTAGCATCCTGATCTGGGGTTCTAAATGCATTCTCCACAAAAAGGAACCAGGTCTTCTTGGACTGATGCCTGATTCCAGAGCTGGGATGGGAAACATGGAAGATGAACAGAGGGCATCTGGTGATACCAGAAAATAAGAGGTTAACTTCAAGGACAAGTAGAGTGTCAAAAACAATAATGGTCATAATTCATTAAAACATATTAAATAGAAATTGTGAATGCTAGTGAGACTCAGAAAAAGCATGAGCAAAGTTCTTTACAGAAGAATCCCTGCATCTCAATGCAGAAGAAATTAAAGAATTACAAAATCTCCATTGTGCAACTTCAGGGGAGTAACTGATTCAGGCAGGGATCAAAGAAAGCTTAAAAAGTGGGTTGAAAAGTTGTTGGGAAACAACATATTTGTACTTTGCCAAATACCACCCCACGAACTCTTACTAACTGCAAAGGAAAAATGTGTTTTCATGGTGGAAAGATCCAACCGTCGTCACCAACGGTCAACCGCTCAGCATCAGCACATTCTGAGAGATCAGAACCTTAGCCATCTGAAGTTCACAGCCTCACCTGTGAGGTGAAAGGTTTAGCCTGAGTCTGTTCTTGATTGTAAGCCTACTTTCCAATCTATGGGAAATATAGGATACATTAAACAACACCTGAGGAAACCAATAAGAAACTCAAAATATGGGGCATCCTCCAAGGAAACTAGCCTAGACTTTCTAAAAAGTTAAAAAAAAAAAAAAAGTGTGCAGGCTGTTACAGGTTAAAAGAGATTAAAGAGGCAAGGCAACCACATGCAATGAATGAACCCAGTTAGCATTTCAGTATGGAAGAAAACAAACTTAAAAGACTTTTTTGAATGAACAGAGAAATTGGAAAATGCACTAGGTGTTCAACAATAAAAAACAATCACTGTCAATTTTCTTAAGTGTAATAATTACATAATGGTAATCTAGGGAAAATGGCCTAATTTTTAAGGAGATGCATTCTGTCACAGTTAAGGATGCTATGATATGATGTCTGAAATTTAGAGAAAGAAAGAGAGAATGCTGTTTACTGGTGCAGCATCCAGGCATGGGATGCATGATGCTCTCTCTTTTTTTAGTAACTGCTCTGCAGGTATGTATGCCCTACTGTGCCATTTTGTTCCTATTCAAGGATACTTTATTCAGTGTCCCAGACTGTAGCCCTGAGACGTGTTTCAGTATTGGCTGCATTATGTGACAGCAGGAGCGTCAATGCCATGTGCTGTCACTGATTTCCTGAACAGAGCACAGCCAGGTGCAGCGGGGCAGTCAGGGAGAACTGTTCCACACCCTGAATTCCTTATTTCCTGAGGGCAATGGGGTAGAAAGGGAGGTCTGACCGATGGCTGTACCCAGCCAGGTTCAGCTGACAAGCTTTTCCGGCTGCCTTACTGCAGGATAATTATCAACCACACAATGAAAGTCTACCCAACCTGGGACCTCCACTGAGACATGAAAAGCCCCAAATAATTTCAAATAATAACAATGACAACCATAGTTCTTGAGGTCTCACCAAGGGACAGACACTGCTCTAAATGTCTTATACATACTCTAACTCGTGGATTTCCACATGGGGTTAATTTTTATCAAAGTATCATTAAGTACAATTATCAAGGACTAAACAAAATATACATGCACATAAAGGCAGAAATAATAATTTGCCATATGGTTGACAAAGTTTAAGTCCTCTTTGCTTGAAGATGCAAGAGTACACATGGGAAAGGAGAGGCAGGTTCACTATTTCTCTCCTAAAAACCATTAATTCACACACCCCCAATTCTTGTGAGTCTAGGCATCCATAACCATTTATCATGAGAAAGAATCAAAATCCCAGCTTGCTTCCTGACATGGGTCCTGCCTACCATTGCAATCAAAGCAAGAGAAGTGAAGATAGATGACCTCATCCAGCCGTTCCTCCGTGGGCACCCCTAATTGGCCATGCGGCCACTGCTCACATCTCTCTTTTCACACGTAACCGTTAGAAAATTCAAAAGACTAGACCAGCTGCTTCCTTCCTCAAAGATACTGCAGACAATTATTAGAGAGAGAGAAAAAGCTTCAATATCCTATGGAGATAGAATAAAGAGGGGCGGGGAAACCTTCCAACATCATATGTGTGAGAGCAGTGAATAAATTACATGAACAATTGTGGAGAGAAAAAAGTAGCATTCAGAGTGCTACTCCAATACGGAACTACACAATGACCATATAGAAGACAGAATTTTTCATTATAGAATGGGAAAGCTACCCTGAGATTCCATACAACAGTTGGAATGGATGAACCATCTCTACAGGCAATAACATGGATGAAGCCTCAAATAATGTTCACTAAAAGCCAGACACGAAAAATCACATGTTGTGTGACTATATAGCATTTTTTATTTGACATTTTTAACATATTTTTAAATATGTACATAAAATTTCAACCAAGCCTCTCTCCCAAAATGATGCTGACAGAACTCAGAAGGGTGGGGAGGTGATAACTAGGAAGGAGAATGACAAAGGGGTTTACCTGTGAGGTTCTAATCCTTTATACAGATTCCAGTTGAAATGGGTGTATTCGATGTGTGAAAATCCATTAAACTGTATTCTTAAATGTGCATTTTTTCCATATGTATGTTATACTTCAATAAAAAAAATTACTTCAAATATGAATACAATTTAATAGTCTTATGCCAAGACATCTCTGACTTTTACTTTTGAAATGACCTCAGAAATGGTGATGTTATATAAAATCATCAACCTAAAGACAGTGAAGAGCTCAAGGCAATTTGGAGGCAACATCTAAGTCTAAACATAAAGTGAAATTAGACACAGTCCTTGTAACAGGGTACAAATAACTCTGCAGGAATTAGCGAGAATTGCTGGGAGAAGTAATTGCAAAGGCCTTTGATCTTCTATTATATCTTCTATCTGGGATCTCAAAGAAGCCAGTAAACAAGCAAGGCCCAGTAGTCCCTGGACAAAACCACTTGCCTCGGCATCTTTTTAGAGCACCAGGCCCAAATCCAGTGACCTTTGTATGGTAGAAGCTCAATTCAGGGAAGGACTCAGAGATTACTAATGTCCTGATAGAAAAACATTATGACCTAACCAGGATATACATCAATTAACTTCTGTCCACCTTTTATAAACAGAAAGTCAGTCAGAGGGTAAATCTGGGTGTCCTATGGTGGCATTTTCTAATGTATGAAAGAAAGAAAAGAAGAAACAAACTGCAGAGAAAACAGCCTGTGAACCCCAGACCTCCCAATTCTATTTGACCTTCTTGCTTAGCATGATAGATGAAATAGCATCCCCCACCCCCAAAATGAACAGGCTGAAGTTCTCACTCCCAGAACCGCAGAATGTGACTTCATTTGGAAACAGGTTCTTTGAAGATGGAAGTAGTTAAAATGAGAGAAGGGCAAGCCTAAACCCACATGGGTAATTGCGTTCACAGACACACACAGGCAGGACACTGTGTCAAGACTAGAATTGTGTTGTCACAAGCCAAGGAAATACCAGAAGCCACAAGAGGCCTGGGACAGGTCCTGTGTAGTGCCTTCAAGGGAACACAGCCCCACTGGAACCCTGATTTCAGCATAGCCCCAGAACTGAGACTAGACACTTCTGTTGTGTGAGATCCCAGTTTGTTTCTTTGCTTTGACAACTCTAGCAAGCTGGCATACCTACACGTCCTGGCCTGGCAATATTAACAAAGCAGCGCCATTCTTACCTTAGTGATTAAGAAACATGGACAGAGAGGAAAGCAGATTGTCTTAAATCACAAAGTCACTAACAAGGCCTAGAATTCAGGAATCCAGACAGATTCTGAAAAAAAAAAAAAAAAAGTTGTTAAAAGTAAAGAATGAAAGAAATGATAAGCTCGCCTTGCCTGGAGGCCTATTAACTCCTCTGACTTGGCTTATGTTGCTTCTGGGTGAGGGAATGGTGGGGGCCAGCATGCGTTCCTGAAGGTGCCTCCCAGCCCTACAATCTAAACCAACACCAGCACACCTTCCCCATAGGCCTGCAATTCCCACTGTGGGAATGAATTACTTTTCAAATACCTGAATCTGCTAAAAAGAATGTGGTTACTGAAAATGAGGCAGGAAAAAAGAAGAGAATATGAATAGAAATGGCATTTTAATAAGTAATGAGACTTCAAGGGAGGCTGATAATTCAGAATCACTTCTGAACTCTAATACAGAATTAATCTACATTGTCTTCTAAAAATGTCAGTCCAGCAAAAACCTTACACAATGGTGTCCATTTCAAATGCAGCCACAGAAAATAAAAGTGAGCTTCTTAACATTAACATGAGGGTGGGTCTATGAGTTGAACTCTGGCATGCATGTGCTGGTTATGGTTGAAGTCCAGATTGTATTAAACATCAATAATATCCACATTTGGGCTGGGGATGTGGCTCAAGCAGTAGCGTGCTCGCCTGGCATGCGTGCAGCCCGGGTTGGATCCTCAGCACCATATACAAACAAAGATGTTGTGTCCGCCGAAAACTAAAAAATAAAAATTAAAACTCTCTCTCTCTCTCTCTCTCTCTCTCTCTCTCTCTCTCTCTCTCTCTCTTTAAAAAAAATAATATCCACATTAAATTTAATATCAGTTGAAAAAGTATTGCTAGAGTTAAATTCTATGAATTGGAAATCAACTCTTTAAAGAATACTAATTAGTACCTTCTACATGCGGAATACCAGCCCAAGCACCAAAAGATGGACTGGAGGTGAACAAATACCAACCGAGAGCTGAGCTTGCAAACTGCAGTTCAGAGGTAGCTGGCACTGTGGTAATACTCACAATTGCTCCTCCAAGGTGAAAACTGAGCAACAATAATCTTAGAAATTTCCATCTGTTCTTTCAAGTTTTGAAAGTAGCCAGACCTCCGATAACTATCTGAAATTAGTACCCGAGGCTAGGCTGGCTCGTCATAGGTGTAGTGTCTGGGAAGAAAGCTCTCTTAGGTTCCGTGTGGCAACCGCAGAAGCAGACCAGGTTCAGCTAGAGAAAGCCAAGGTCACTGATTTAATCCTCAAAGGACCAGGTAACTTCAAGAGACTGGACTCTTTACTCTGGCTGACAACACTACATTTCAAGGTATTGGTTTACAGAAAGGGATTAGGTGTCCCACAATGGAGCCAAGACATCCAAAGCGTTTCATGGAGGCTGGGGAGGGGAAGGAAAAGTCAAGGGAAGATCTCATTGCAGCAGGAGACACTGGGCCTCCGCCAGGAGTCATGGCACCTTCCTGGAGGAAGGTAGGGAGGGATGGGAAGTCATAGCAGCACTCTCTGCACTACCACAGTGGGGTGTCCACAGTACTTCAGGGACCTGACACTAGCCTGACATTACGACACTGTGACCTGACATCAGGAGAATGTTGATTGTCATCATCATGTGAGTCCTGAGACTACCCTTTCCTACGAGAACCTAACCGTTTAGAAACAGCTTCTCTAACAATTCAGCCCTTTGGAAAGAAGTAGCAGGTTTTAACCCAAAGCTACACCACTAGGACTTCTTTCTCAAGGACACCAGACCACTTTCAGACAAATGACAAATTGGAAGAATAGATGGCCAGAATGATTAACTTCAATCTTTACATGAATAAATTTGAAATCTGTCCATTAAGAAGGTGTTTCGCAGGACAAGGGATTGCACACTGTATTAACGGAGTGGATTTCATTACGGCATGGGTCAGCTCAAAAATGGAGCAATTAGGGATCCAAGATGACAGGCCAGAGGGAGACAGCATTCTGTGTCACTCCATAACCTGGGACTCAGGTAGTGAGAATACTGCTTCTCTGCAGTGATATTCCTGCCCCCGCACAGGAATCACGGTCACCATGCCTTGCAGGGTTCCAGGCCTCAGTGTCAGAGTGGGTCTCCCAACTATTCACCCACACAGGACAACCAAATACCCCAGCAGAACCATCAGCATCAGCACCCACACAGAATTTTCGGCCACCCACCTGAGCAGAAATCCCTAACACCGCTCCCATGCAGGACACCCAGCAGCTACCCACATACAGGTTCTCCAGTTGCCACTCCCATGTGGACTCCCATCTACCAACATGGAGCTCCCCTGATCACCTCCATCTTGGAACTCTGCAGCAACTGAGATAGTCCCCTATGAACTGTAGGCTGCCTGCACCTGAGAACTTCACATAGGTTCTGAAGACAGCTGAAACCACATGCTGCATGCCACAGAGCTGTCTCTGAACACATCATCCACGTCCAACGCCATCAGCTGGCTCCCCCGCACCCAACACGACACCCCATTGCTGAAAACAGCTGCCTCCATCTTCAGTCACCTTCATCACTATCTTTAGTGGGGGCAACACCCAGTTTAGAACTACAGCTGGCCAAGGTAAAACACAATAACGCCTCAGATCCACAGTGCTAGAAGGGAAGACACACAAGCAACATGAAAAGACAAGGGAAGAAAGTGTCTCAAACAAGTCAAGATACCACATTATTAGAATTCATGGCCAGCACAGCAGAAGAAATGACAGAGAAGGAGTTCAGGATGTACATAATTACAATGTTCTGCAAATTAAAGGAGGATGTAAGAGAGCAAACAAATACAGGTAGTAAAAGATCATTTTTACAAAGAGCTACATAAACAAATACAGGAAGCAAAGGATTACTTCAATAGGGAGATAGAGGTTCTAGGAAAAAAAAAAAACCCAAACAGAAATCCTTGAAATGAAAGAAACAATAAACCAAATTAAAAGTTCAATTAAAAGCATCACCAATAGATTAGACCACTTGGAAGACAGGACCTCGGACAATGAAGGCAAAATATAAAATAATCTTGAAAAGAATGTAGAACACACAGTGAAAATGGTAAGAAACCATGAACAGGATATTCAAGAAATATAGAATAACATAAAAGATCAAATTTAAGAGTTATTGGGATAGAGGAAGGCATAGACTTCCAGACCAAAGGAATGAACAATCTATTCAATGAAATAATATCAGAAAATTTTCCAAACATGAAGAATGAATTGGAAAATCAAATTCAAGAGGCTTACAGGACACCAAAAGTATAAAATCACAACAGATCTACACCAAGGCACATTATAATGAAAATACCTAATATACATAATAAGGAGAGAATATTAAAAGTCACGAGAGAAAGGAATCGGATTACATATAGGGGAAAACAATTAGGTTATGTGCAGATTTCTCAAACCAGATCCTGAAAGCTAGAAGATCCTAGAACAACATATATCAAGCTCTGAAATAAAATGGATGCCAACCAAGAATCTTATAGCCAGCAAAATTAAGCTTTAGATTTGATGATAAAATAAAAACTTCCATGATAAACAAAAATTAAAAGAATTTACAGCAAGAAAACCTGCACTTCAGAACATCCTTGGCAAAATATTCCATGAAGAGGAAAGGAAAAACAACAATGAGAATCAGCAGAGGGAGGAAAAACTAATCATTGAAGAAACCAAGACAAGTTAAATAATAAAAACATAAAAAAATGGCTGGGGATACAAATCATGTCTCAATAAAAACCCTGAAGGTTAATGAACCTAAAATCACCAATCAAAAGATATAGGCTAGCAGATTGGATAAAAAAAAAAAAGACTCAACAATATGCTGCCTCCAGGACACTCATATCATAGGAAAACACATCCACAGATTGAAGGTGAAATATTGAAAAAATCACACCACTCACATGGACTGCAGAAGCAAGCAAGGGTATCCATCTTCATATCAAATAAAGTAGACTTCAAGCTAAAGTTAACCAAAAGGGATAAAAAAGGACATTTCATACTGTTCAAGGGAACCATACATCAACAAGACATAACAATTATAAATATATATGCCTCCCAAAATGGAGCATCTATGCTCATCAAACAAATTCTTCTCAAGTTCAAGACCACAACACAATAATTTTGGGTGCCTTTAACACACCTCTTTTACCACTTGATAGATCTTCCAAACAAAAGCTGATCAAAGAAACTATAGAACTCAATAATACAATCAATAACTTAGACTTAACTGACATATATAGACTATTTCACCCATCAATGAGCAAATAAACTTTCTTCTCAGCAGCAGGATATTTCTCTAAAATAGACCATAGTTTATGCCTCAAAGCAACTCTTAGCAAATACAAGAAAATAGAGATGCTACCCTGCATTCTATCAGATCATAATGGAATGAAATTAGAAATAAATTACAAAATAAAAACTACTCCAACACCTGGAGACTAAATAATATGCTATTGAATGAACAATGGGTTGCAAAAGACATCAAAGAGGAGATTAAAAAATTCTTAGAAGTAAATGAGGACACTGATACAACATATTGAAATCTCTGGGACACTATGAAGTACTAAGAGGAAAGTTCTTTGCATGGAGTCCATTACCTAAAAGAAGAAGAAGAAGTCAACAAATAAATGACCTAACATTACATCTCAAAGCCCTATAAAAAGAAGAAGAAATCAACACCAAATGCAGTAAAGACAGGAAATATTAAAATCGGAGCTGAAATCAATGAAATCAAAAGAAACAACTGAAAAAAATTGACAAAACAAAAAGTTGGTTCTTTGAAAAAATAAATAAAATTGACAAACCCTTCGCCAAGCTAATTAAGAGAAGGAGAGAGAAAACTCAAATTACTAACATATATGATGAAAAAAGAAATATCACAGCAGACACTACAGAAATACAGAAGATAATTAGATATTATTTTGAAAACTTGTACTCTAATAAAATAAAAAATATTGAAGGCATCAACAAATTTATAGAATTACATTATTTGCCCAAATTGAATCAGGATGATATACACAATTTAAA